TTTATCGATATTCATCTTGTACACGTTTCTTTGTGGCATCGGTGGCATTAAAGTATTCCTACGCCGTACAAAATAACGGATTGTATGGCGGCCTCAAAGGGAAATAATTTTAATAATTTAAAAACTTCGTAATTGGAATTATAAGAATTAAACGTTCTTTTTTCAGAATTTATCGATGTGTAAACTCTGCCTTTTTACTCACAAACTTTACATAAAAGTGCTTCGCACTTTTATTCAGTTTGTGAGCAAAAAGGCAGAGTTTACACATCGATAAATTCTGAAAAAAGAACGTTTAATCCTATAGTAATTTGTGAGAACCATATGTGTTTTTTCAAATACCAAGAGACTAAAATTTAATTCTATCCGTACTCGTGTGTATGCACAAGAAGTTCTTCCGAATTTCCTCTACACATAAACAAAGGATTCAAGGTTTGTTTACATTTGTTTGCAGTTTTAATAGTGTCAGCTGTTTATATCAATCATGAAGTTTCACTTGAGCCTATACTGATCAAAATAAGAATGTTACTTTTAATTTAATATCATATACAATTTATGATTGATCAGATGATGTCAATGCAGTAAATTCTCACATACTTGTGTATACATGTATATCAGGTATGAAACTTGTTGCCCGCGTGGCGCAGTGATTAGAGCGTCTGCTCTAGAGTCGGGAAGTAAGGAGTCAATCCCTATGTCGCTAATTCAAATCCAACTGTGGGACATGGAGATCGGTCCTTGGATGAGACCGTATAAACCGAGGCCCCGTGTCGCTGTAGGTGCTGGCACAAAAATGATTCCTCCCTGCTCAAAGGCCCTCACCCCAAATTTGTAGCCCTCCACCGGCAAGTGGTGGTGTCTCCATATGAGTGAAAAATTTTCGAGAGGGACATTCTAAACAACATACAATCAATCACATATGCAGTTTATGAAAATTTTGAATATTTCTATGTGTACAACTATTTTCCCTTTTAAAGTATTGCCCATCTAAAAGTAGCTACTGAAATAGTATAAATATTATAAAACTAAAGGTACTCTGTCAGAGCAATGAGCTCTGACACTAAATGATACCTACCTCTAATTCTCATAGGAAAATAATGACTGTGTCCATGTTTTGCTATGGGAAAGCCCAAATATATGGCGGATCAAAAAGTAAAATAGAAGATGCACAATTGCAATATGTAATAAAGATTGTGTGAAAGTCATCAAATATCACTCAGTGGTATTAGAGGAATTAGCGGATAAGAGATGGGTACACCAAAGCATAACAGACGGACAGACATACCAATTACTTAATATACCCTCCCGCTTATCAAGCGGGGGTATAATAAATTACATGCATGCATGCATCAATCTGTGTAATGAAAAGATAATTGCTAAAGGTAATTTACATTGATGTTTTGCATTTTTGTTTGTAAGAATACATGTATTTAATTTACATGTTGTTTAATTACATGTATTTCAATGTGTTAAATTAAAAATAATTTTCTTTTTTGTTTGTCTATTGCAGGTGCAGCTGCAGAGTACATTTTGAACAGCAATCTCCAGGTATGACAAAAATAACAAAATTGACCCTATAAGGTTAAATAAACAAACATTATTGAATTTAGAAAATGTATAATGAAGCACAAATTTGAAATCATTGTAGGCCCAAACTAGAAATAGTTTTCTTTTTCTGCTCACTCAGGCTTTTTACTGGTCAGATCATCATAATATCACTATCCCACTCCCAGGCTACCAGATTTAATAAAAAGAGACTGACCCAAAACCATAATAATAACTAGGGCTAATTGTAACGGGGACCGTTACATACGTTCCCCAAACGCTCCCCAACTCCCTTTTGGTGCCATATTTCCTTAAACTCTATCAAATAAGACATACTTTGTGCAATTCAGACTTAAACAATGTTTTCCCAGAAGACTACGAAATATATTTAAATTTTAGCATTACATGCGAGCTCATGTGAATGCATGTGGGTAATGATCATATCATCTTTTCTACACTATGTATATATATTCAAATAGACTTAATATCAAAGCATTAAATCCAGAAGTATTAAAAAATACACTTATTCAAGCATATTTTTAATTTACTCATTTCACGTTACAAGCATGTGCATGATGACCATACCTTCTTGTAGGGGTCCATTATGTCTATCAATATTCTAAATACCATCCTATTTCGTTGAAAACCAAGGGAGTTATAACCATTTAAAGTTTAAGCCAATCAGATTTCAGCGCACGTGCATGCGTGTGATTTAATGACAATTGTTATATATCATATTGTAGGACATCCTATTGTATGCTTATGTTTTAAATTTCGTAGCATTTCGTCAAAGAACGGAAAAGATATTGAGATTTTTGTTTCAGCCAATCAGAGTGAAGAACACGTGCACGCTTGTGCATGACGACCATACCATCTTGTTGGAGTCTATTATGACTGTCTATGTTCTAAATCCCATCCTGTTTGGTTGAAAAACAAGGGAGTTATAGCCATTTAAAGTTTAAGCCAATCAGATTGCAGCGCACGTGCATGCGCATGTTTTCACGACAACTGTTATATATCATACTGTAGGACATCCTAATGCATGACTAACGTCAAAAATTAAAAAAAGATATTGCGATTTTTGTTTCAGCCAATCACAGCAAAGCACAAGTGCACGCATGTGCATGCATGTGCATGACGACTTCACCGCCTTGTAGGAGTCCATTATGTCTGTCTATGTTCTAAATCCCATACTGTTTGGTTGAAAAACAAAGGAGTTATAGCCATTTAAAGTTTAAGCCAATCAGATTGCAGTGCACGTGCATGCACGTGCTTACATGACAATTGTTATATATCATATTGTAGTACATCCTAAAGTATGCCTATGTTTTAAATTTCATAGCATTTCGTCAAAAAACAGAAAAGATATTGAGCTTTTTGTTTCAGCCAATCAGAGCGAAGCGCACGTGCATGCGCGTGAGTTCGTGCTAATTTGACAGTGTCACATTATCTACAGTATTAATGTATCTTTATATAATGAGTTTCAAATCATTTCATCAAAAAATGTAAATGTAATAGCTATATTAAGTATATCAGTCAATTCACTCATTTCACACGCACGCACGTGCATGCGTATGCGCGCAAAATAACCTTCGTGTTGCACACCTACACTACACACCTATTAACCCTAAAAAGGTTTTAGCTCAATTGGGTGAGCAGTTTCTGAGAACACTCGCGGACAAAAAAGTACCGGAGAACAAAGAAGAAAAAAAAGAATAATAATAATAATAACTAGTGCTAATTGTAACGGGAACCGTTACAGATGTTCCCCAAACGCTCCCCAACTCCCTTCTCGTGCCATATTCCCTGTAAGTTTCATAAAAGAAGACAAACTCTATGCATTTAAGACGTAAACAAAGTTTTCCCAAAAGTATACCAAGTATTTCAAATTTAAGCAATGCAGGCGTGCGCATGTGATTGCATGAGCGTAATGACGATATCATCTTGTCTACACTTTTTACTCATTGCACGTGCACGCACGTGCATGATGACCATACCTTCTTGTAGGTGTCCATTATGTCTGTCTATGTTCTTAATCCCAACCTGTTTGGTTTTAAAAAACAAGGGAGTTATAGCCATTTAAAGTTTAAGCCAATCAGATTGCAGCGCACGTGCATGCGGGTGTTTTCATGACAATTATTATATATCATATTGTAGGACATCTTAAAGTATGCCTATGTTTTAAATTTCAAAGCATTTTGTAAAAAAACAGAAAAGATATTGAGATTTTTGTTTCAGCCAATCAGAGCAAAGCACACGTGCACGCACGTGCATGCATGTGAATGGTGACCATACCATCTTGTAGGAGTTCTTTATGTCTATCTATGTTCTAAATCTCATGCTGTTTGGTTGAAAACCAAGGAAGTTATAGTCATTTAAAGTTTCAGCCAATCAGATTGCAGCGCACGTGCATGCGCGTGATTTGATGAAAAATTTTGTATATCATATTGTAGTACATCCTAATGCATGTCTATGTTATAAATTTCAAAGCATTTCATCATAAAACAAAAAAGATATTAAGATTTCTGTTTCAGCCAATCAGAGCAAAGCGCACGTGCATGCGCGTGAGTTCATGAAAATTTGACCAAGTCATCTTATCTACACATCTTATATATCATTATATAATGAGTTTCAAAACATTTTATCAAAAAATATAAAAGTTACAACCATATTAAATATATCAGTCATTTTACTCATTGCACGTGCCCGCACGTGCATGCGAATGCGCGCAAAATGACCTTCGTTCAGCACATCTACACAACATGCCTACTAACCCTAAAAAGGTTTTAACTTAGTTTGGTGAACAGTTTCTGAGAACACTTCCGGACAAAAAAGTACCGGAGAAGAAATAAGAAGAAAAAAGAATAATAATAATAATAATAACTAGTGCTAATTGTAACGGGGACCGTTACAGATGTTCCCCAAACGCTCCCCAACTCCCTTTTGGTGCCATATTCCCTGTAAGCTTCATTAAATAAGACAAACTCTGTGCATTTAAGACTTTAACAACGTTTACCCAGAAGTGTACCAAGTTCGTTCTAATTTTAGCATTGCACGCGTGCACATGTGAATGCATGTGCGTAATGACCATATTATCTTGTCTACACAATCTATATATTCTACTATACTAAATATTAAAGTATTTAATCAAAAAGTATTTAAAAAATACGCTCATTCAAGTGTATTTTTAATTTTACTCATTTCACGTGCACGCACGTGCATACATGAGCATGGTGACGATACTTTCTTGTAGAATTCTATTACACCTATCTATGTTCTAAATCCCACCCCGTTTGGCTGAAAACCGACGGAGTTATAGCTGTTCAAAGTTTCAGCCAATCAGATTGCATCGCACGCACACGCACGTGTATGCATGTGCAGGTGACCAAACCTTCTTGTAGAAGTTCATTATATCCATCTATGTTCCAAATCCCACCCCGTTTGGTTGTAAACCAAGGGAGTTATAGCTACTTAAAGTTTCAGCCAATCAGATTGCAGCGCACGTGCATGCACGTGTTTTTATGATAATTGCTATATATAATGTTGTAGGATATCCTAATGCATGGCTATGTTCAAAATTTCAAAGGATTTTGTCAAAAAACAAGAAAGATATTGAGACTTTAGTTTCAGCCAATCAGAGCGAAGCGCACGTGCATGCGCGTGAGATCTTGCTATTTTGATCATGTGATATTGCCTATGCTACTAATATATCCTTATATTATAAGTTTTAAAGCATTTCATCAAAAATGTAAAAAGTTACGCCTATATCAATTAAATCGGTCATTTCACGTGTTGCACGTGCACGCTCTTGCAAGCACGTGCGCGCAAAATGACCTTCGTTCCGCAAATCTACATAACATGTCTACTGACCCTAAAAACATTTCACCTAAATCGGATGTGTAGTTTACAAGATCATTCGCGGACAAAATTTTCCCGAGAAGAAAAATAATAATAATAATAAGAAACAGAGTAAAAACAATATGTTCCCCAACTTCGTTTGGGGAACATAACTAGTGCTAATTGTAACGGGGACCGTTACAGATGTTCCCCAAACGCTCCCCAACTCTGTTTTCGTGTCATATTCCCTGTAATCTCTATTAGATAAGAAATATTTTATGGAATTTAGACTTAATCAAGATCTTGCCAGAAAAATAGAAATTATATTTAAAAATAGGCATTGCACGCGTGTTCATGTGCGTAACGACCATATTATCTTGTCTACAATATCTCAAATTTTAATATACTTAATATTAAAGCAATCAATCCAAAAGTATTTAAAAAATTCACTCATTCGAGTGTATTTTTAATTTTACTCATTTAACGTGCACGCACGTGGAAGCACATGCATAATGACTACACCTTTTTGTAGAAGTCCCTTATATTTATCTATGTTCTAAATCCCATCCTGTTTGGTTGAAAAACAAGGGAGTTACAGCCATTTGAAGTTTCAGCCAATCAGATTACAGCACACATGCATGCGCGTGATTTCATAAATTTTCATCTTTATCGTATTGAAGAATATCTAAATGAATGACTATATTTTAAAATTCCAAACATTTCGTCAAAAAACAAAGGAGATATAGCCATATAAAGTTTCAGCCAATCAGATTGCAGCACACGTGCATGCGCGTGATTTCATTAATTTTTTCTATATCATATTTTAGGATATCTTAATGCATGACTATGTTTTAAATTTCAAAGCATTTCGTCAAAAAACAAAGGAGATATAGCCATTTAAAGTTTCAGCCAATCAGATTGCAGCACGAGCGCATGCGCATGCTTTCATGATTTTTTTTATATATTGTGCTGTAAATCTTCATAATGTAGGACTATGTCCAAAATTTCAAAAGATTATGACAAGAAACAAGAAAGATATTGAGACTTTAGTTTCAGCCAATCAGAGCAAAGCGCACGTGCATGCGCGTGAGATCTTGCTATTTTGACCATGCCATCTTGTCTATACTACTAATGTATCCTTACATTATGAGTTTCAAAAAAATTCATCAAGAAAAAGAAAAGTTACAGCAATATCCATTATATTGGTCATTTCATGTGTTGCACGTGCGCGCTCTTGCAAGCACGTGCGCGCAAAATGACCTTCGTTCGGCAAATCTACATAACATGTCTACTGACCCTAAAAACATTTTACCTTAGTCGGATGTGTAGTTTACAAGATCACTCGTGGACAAAATTTTCCCAGGAAGAAGAAAAATAATAATAATAAGAAACAGAGTAAAAACAATATGTTCCCCAACTTCGTTTGGGGAACATAATAACTAGGGCTAATTGTAACGGGAACCGTTACAGATGTTCCCCAAACGCTCCCCAACTCCCTTTTGGTGCCTTACTCCCTGTAAGCTTCATTAAATAAGACGAACTCTATGCCTTTTAGACTATAACAATGTTTTCCCAAAAGTATATTCAAATTTATGCATTGCACGCATGCGCATTTGAATGCATGTGCGTAATGACCTTATCATCTTGTCTACACTATTTATATACTAGAAATTACAGCGTTTTATCCAAAAGTAATAAAAAATACGTTTTAATCTAGTGTATTTGTAATTTTACTCATTTCACGTGCACGCACGTGCGTGCATGTGCATGTCGACCATATCTTCTTGTAGGAGTCTGTTATGTTTGTCTATGTTCTAAATCCCATCCTGTTTGGTTGAAAAACGAGGAAGTTATAGCCATTTTAAGTTTAAGCCAATCAGATTGCAGCGCACGTGTATGCGCATGTTTTCATGACAACTGTTATATATCATATTGTAGGACATCCTAATGCATGATTATGTTTAAAATTTTAAAGCATTTCGTCAAAAATTAAAAAAAGATATTGCGATTTTTGTTTCAGCGAATCACAGCAAAGCACACGTGCATGCACGTGCATGCCTGTGCATGACGACCATACCTCCTTGTGGGAGACCATTATGTTTGTCTATGTTCTAAATCCCATACTGTTTCGTTGAAAATCAAGGGAGTTATAGCCATTTAAAGTTTAAGCCAATCAGATTGCAGCGCACGTGCATGCGCGTGTTTACATGACAATTGTTATATATCATATTGTAGTACATCCTAAAGTATGCCTATATTTTAAATTTCATAGCATTTTGTCAAAAAACAGAAAAGATATTGAGATTTCTGTTTCAGCCAATCAGAGCGAAGCGCACGTGCATGCGCGTGAGTTCGTGCTAATTTGACAGTGTCACATTATCTACACTATGAATATATCCTTATTAAATGAGTTTTAAAATATTTCATCAAAAAATGTTAAAGTTCTGGCTATATAAAGTATATCCGTCATTTCACTCATTTCACGCGCCCGCACGTGCATGCGTATGCGCGCAAAATAACCTTCGTGTTGCACACCTACACTACACACCTATTAACCCTAAAAAGGTTTTAGCTCAGTTGGGTGAACAGTTTCTGAGAACACTCGCGGACAAAAAAGTACCGGAGAACAAAGAAGAAAAAAAAGAATAATAATAATAACTAGAGCCGAGCTCGTTGCAAAGAAACGAGTAGGTCTTCCGTCCTGTTACCGGAAGTGGCTTTCATTTTTAACAAAAATGATAAATATCGCCTAAAAATGGCTTGAATCCCCTAAAAGTATGTTAATTAAAGCTTAAATATGCTAATTTTTGCTACTTCCGGTTTAACCGGAAGTGACGACGACGGGGACGGAAAATGAATTTTTTATGCTCCCAGAAACATATTTTACCCAAAAACTTGACCAGAACGGCAAAAATACGCATTTTTGACTACTTCCGGTTTGACCGGAAGTGACGACGCCGGACGCTTTTTGATGACACAAATAGATTGAGCAGGACATTTTGAACAACTTTGCTTCTTTGACATATTACAAAATCTCAATACTTTTTGAGATATAAAGAAAAAAGTTTTGGCCCCTCCTGGCCCTTAATTTAAAGGGCCAGCCCTTTACACGAGATGCCATTTTAAAGGTATTAAAATTCTACACCTTTTTTGTTCTACATGCTTAAACAAAATATTTCTAGGTAAAAAGTTATAATAGAAAAGGTGTCAAAAATTTTGAAAATCTTGATAGGACTATTTTCGGGCCATAGCGAGCGTCGGCGTTTCGTACTTCCGGTAGTTGTGATATACTTAGTGCACTTCTCCAAAGGTTGCTCTAAGCATCAGTGAAAATTTCATGCTTCTGTGTTAAGTGCTTTTTGAGAAAACTGCCGGACAAAGTGACCCTCTAAAAATCGTTAAATCGCCGAAAACTCCGAACCGGAAGTGACGTCATCAAAATAAAAAAATATATGTCTAGAGTTTTTGATGTTCTATCAGACCTGAAAGTTTCATGAAAATCGATCAAGCCGTTCTTGAGAAATCGCGCGCACAAAATCGGTAAGAAAAAAAAACAATAATAAAAATAGTGGAAAAGAAACCTAAGAATAACAAGAAGGTCTTCCGCTGAAGACGGAAGACCTTAATGATAATAATAATAAGAAACCGAGTAAAAACAATATGTTCCCAAACTCCGTTTGGGGAACATAATAATAATAATAATAATAATAAGAAACCGAGTAAAAACAATATGTTCCCAAACTCCGTTTGGGGAACATAATAATCATGATAGATGTAATAGTTATATTTTGTTTATTTATTGTGATACACAGATTGACAAATAATTAATCTAAACAAAACAGGATTCCAAAATGACAGAACTTTGACACAATCCTGTCAAGTTTGTAGCCCATCTATAATTGTATTTTGTTATACATGTACATAGAACTGACCCAAAAGACAGAGTGCCCCCTACCATGTAATATCCTAGATAAAACAAAAATCACTGACCCCAGTCCAGTGGGCCTTCAATTATTTTTTAGCCTTGCATTGTAAAGTCAGCTATCGAGACATTCTGTCCTTTTTTGTTGTTTGTTTTTTAATGATATGCACCATCCCACACAAATTATACACACAAGAAAATTTATTTTATTTTCTCCACTTTTAAAATATGGGCTTCACTGATCTTTACATGTTTTCAATATATGTCTTTTCTTTTGAAGAATGACATTGTTGATTGAATTTAAAAATGGTCTTCAATATGTATGCACATGATAGTGATGATACTGTATTAAATGCACAAAAATTATAATTTCATTAAAATAAAACAAAAAAGCAAATGTAAACTTTTAAAAAAGAAAATCAAATTAATTCATTTGTAATGTGCAATGATCAAATGTTTCTTGCAGGACATACTCTGAAGACAGTGATGTGCAAGTTCAAGGTTTGCCTGTTGTGAGTATTGTATATGTAACTGTAAGGATAAAATTACACAGGTATAACATATTTAATATGCAACATTATTATTTAATTATTATCATCCTGATCATGCTAATTGGAATAAACAAATAAAAAATATTAAGCATGCCTAATTACTCCAATATCTACATGTACAGGTATATCAATGTATGAAAGAATCCTGTGTAAAGTTATATATAGTTAGAGAGTGAGAGGGAGAGATGCTGATAAAAGGGTCAATATAATTGAAAATCATGCATCAGTGATTTTTGTTTTTGTTTAATTTTCAAAAGATTTAATCACATTCTGTTCTATTTTCAGCAGATACTTTAATACCTGGTAATAAGAATGGATGAAAAAATTCTCACATTATCATGCTGCATAATAGTACATGTAAGTTCAAAGGCAGAAGAAAATCCGTTAAAAGAGAATTTATAAATACAGTTGGTTGTCTGTTTCAGCAAACAATTTAATGAACTGAAAATTATGCTGATACATAATCAGCATATTATGCAAACTGTAAATGATTGCATTACATATTTTTCTGATTTGCATGTAGTGCATTGTTATTTTTCATTCAGTTTTCTTTCCACATTATTGCAAATGCTTGTATTTTATTTGGATTAATTAAATGTAGAGGATTGTATTAACTAATTAATCATATTTGTAGTTCAGCTGTAACAAAACACATTATCTGATGAAAGCTTCAACCACGAGAATGTAGGAAAGGATGTCAAGTCCAAAGAGAAGGTATGTTGATTACTGGTGATGATATGTTATTGATGTATATAGAGTATATCAATAGAATAGAGAGAACAATAGTAATCCATAGACAAAAAATTAAAATCTTAATTCTTTTCAAGAATAGACAGGTCATTATTAGTCACTCTGAGATAGTTAAGAGCAGATTTAGATTTGTTCAGATCATATAGCTATAGGGTAGGGTGGGTCCACGGGGGGGGGGGGGGGTCAAAGTTTTATTCTGGAATATTGAAGGCTGAAGCATTCAAGATTATCAGGGCCACGATACATCATATTTTTTGAATTAATACATCATAGTGCAGAATCTCAGAATCAAGGGTAATGGGTGGCATAATTAGAAACAGAATGTTTATCTCGAAAGTCCTATGTAAATATTGGAAAATCATTTTGTTTATTTCTTGGCTTTTAAGTTAAGTAGAGATTAAAATAATATAAGTTTTCATAATTTAAATTCCTATTTTATGGATACTTTAGTTGATATCTGTGTAAGGTCAAAAAAGCTACAATTTTCAGAAAGAAAGCAATATTTTGGGGTTAAAGAAAAAGGGCATAATTAACTCTCATCATGATAGTAATGATGGATTTCAGATCATGTGAAAAATGTGTACTGTTGTGAAACAAGTGAATACAGTGCAGTCTAAATAAGTACAGTTTAACAACAGTATCCTAATATCAAAAAACTTTGACTACCTAGGGTATGTTGACATTCATGACAGTATTACAAATTGGATGAATGATTTGCAAACACTTGGAATAGCATATATATGATTTACTTTTTTGTTAATTTAATTTGCTCATTTTGCGCATATCTCTTTCTCATGCAGATTATTAATGAACAATTATAGATTGAATTAGCAACCGAAATGGCGTACATGTATATGAATTAATATACTCTGTTTAGAGTTGAACTTTGGTATATATCTTTGACAGTTGACACTGAGTGATATTTTGAACACATTGAGATATCAAAGTCAATTTAAAGTCCCTTGAACGACATTTTTTCTATATATCTTACCCTGAATCTCTTTGTTATCTCAGTTTTTTTTCAACAGTCCCATGAGCATTTCAAGATAACAAGTGTGACTTTATTTTATTGATTCAATTAATTTATGATGAATTATAAAAATATCAATCATATACTTTTATGTTAATGATTTAACATTTTATATTTTTCAGGCCATATAACAAATGAATTCATGAAGACTAGCTTGGATGATACAGTACTTTTCTACTCATGTGAACCATATCTAAACATTATTTGAGGATCCCTTTCTCAGAAAAAAAGAATTTGCTTATTCAAAGACTCTATAGTTTATTGTTTATTTGTACGTTGTTTAACATTCTTCTTGAGAAATTTTCACTCATATGGGGATACAAACATTTGTTGTTGGAGAGCTGCAAATTTTGTCCTTTATTTGGCACACATGGCTAATTGAGCATTATGAGCAATGAGGGATCTTTTTGGTACTAGCACCTACTGCAACACAGGACCTCTGTATATACAGTCTCATCTATGTCCGACTGTGGGATTTCGAACCAGCAATTTATGGATCAACTCCGATCCTTACTCATGACTCTCAAGCAGATGCTCTTGCCACTGTGCCATACAGGTGACTTCATAGGTTATAAAATGATAAGATAAGATTTATAACTTAACACTGATTTTTTTTTTAATTCAATCACGGTACAGAAAATGTTTGCAAAAAAGAGAGGTTATAGCTACATGTAGCTCTCACTAGTATTGCATGCTTAAACTATATGAATTACATATTGTAATTACAGTATTTTAAACCAGATCAGTAAAGAAAGAAACACTTGAATATTTTTACTATAAATTTTATTATAAGGTTGATTATCTTTAAAAAATGGAATCTTTAATTTTTTTGAGTAGGAAAAAAAATATTTAGAATGTACATGTGCACTTAATTTTGTTTATTAAAAATAGTCAAAATTTGGAGATCTTGTGAAGGGTATCTAAATATTGATTTATAAATTTTTACTTCATTTTTAAACAGCATAATCTTTATTATAACATATGTCTGCAATATACAACTTAATTATTTGTTGTTGAACATTCCATTGTCTGTCTACATGTAGTGCTTAATAAATTTCTTGTAAATAAAAACATGATTGCATGCTGTTTGTTTACTTTGTCTTTTTTTCAATATGAGTCATGATATAGAAATGGTGTGCATATAAGTTTAAATTATTTTTGTTGAATTCAGTTAACACAAAAAATTGATAACTGAATATAATTATCTAGATAGATACCTTCCAGAAATAGTTACATATACATGTACTAGTAGCTGCAGATATGTGAAATCAGGTATACTTGAAACTCAATTTACCTGTATTTATTAAACAGAAATTTAGTGAACACATTCATATACATGTACCTATGCAGTATTTCATACTGAAAATGCACTGTCTTAATGTTTTACTTATTCAACATAAAAATTGACCAGAAGTGGTGATCTTAATGAAATAAAACATATCTCACAATACCCCCCCCCAATTTATCACAATTTCAATGTATATAAATTGATAAAAGAAACTGACTATATCATTAAAGAAAATCTTGAGTTGTCTTTCCTTGTTTAAAGAAAATATCTGATGCAATGAATGCTCCCTTGGGTTCATGACCCTGAATATTAATAAGGTTTGGAGGTGTGAGTATACAAGACTCCTAAGTTGAAAATAATATACAAGCACGATATTCACTTGCATAGCGACGCTTTGATCTTAATACATGTATACTAGTTGTACTTTGGTTTTGTACCATACGTTAAAGAGTTGACAGATTAAGCAATCAAGATATATATATATATATATATATTTAAAGGAAAATAAAATTCTTCTCTCCCAGCATTTAGAGGGAAGACAATAGGCTCTTAGATTACTTGCAGTAATTGTTTCCGTGTTGGATTACAGATTGAGTAGTCTTCAGACAATCAGTTGGAATTGTTCTGTGGAAATTAACATTAAACAAGTCTTTGTGAAAGCTCTCTATGAATAATTTATTGTGCTTACAAGTTCAACGTAAAACCAAGACATCGAACAATTTAAGGTGAAAGACATTTGGGAAAAACAAACTTAAAAAAAGAATATTTTGAACAAGATGCAAATTACTAGTATTTTCTTCCACATTTTCAAAACAATTTTAAAATGCATAATTTGATACACGTGTACGTATCATTTAAGCTTAATATTTTCTTTTACCATATAAATTCAAACCCCAATAGATGATTAAAGCTTTACAATATATAGTATGTTTAGGTAGTAATCACAAACTGTCAAGATGTCTTCTAAATGAATGACAGAACATTAATCTCCAGAGATTGGTTCCGACTTATAATATAAAGCAAGAAACACATTTAAAACGTGATAAATTCAACCGATGTAAATTTATTTCAACAGCCACAGATCGATATGTATTTGTAACAATTCAGATTTCTTCGATTGATCCATTACACTTAGCTTGATAACAGCAAACCAGAAACGGTATCTATAGAGTTAAGTCTCTTTTTAGTTAAACTTATTGTTAAAGTTGTAGAACTTGTAAGTCACCGTAGGAAAAGCCAATTACTTGGACAAGTGTGGATTAAATGAAAACAATAGAGATGTCAGTCCATTAAGTTCGCATTGACCATGCATTTTTAAACAAACTGTATTAATTACATGTAAGTATACTCTTGAAATGCCTTTTTGCTGGAACAGCTTGGAGCAAAAAATCAAAATAATAGAATTTTTATCATCTGTCATTAACTTCCTTGGATGTTTGTCATTTGCAAAATTATTTCATTTACAAACATTAAGTACTCTGAAAATTGATATTAAAATACATGTATAGATGCTTTAGTTTCTGATTGACAGTATCTATGTAGTTTTTTTTAAATCAGGTCTCCAAACTTATCTTCCGAATTTCAGCTTATCTATTTCTGTTTTTATATGAAACAAAATTTATTCCTAACTTCTGCATTGGATGAAGAAAACACTTGCCATGACCACCGACTCGACAATTTTATATATTATTTTTATCATTTATTCCAAGCTCTCTGATTGTCTCAAACTTGATCACATGATTAAGTATATTTAAGAAATTAATTTAATCTTTGAAGATTCATGAAGTTATGAACTACGACGATTCACGACGGCATATTTCATGAAGCGCGTTAGCGCTTCAAGATAAATTTATATGCAAGCGTGAAGCGTTGTATCTCATAAATACCTCATGAATTTTCAAAATTCAAATTCACGGTGTAGTACCTAAACGGTTGCTATCAGAAAAAATTGCGCGTTCATCACTGCTATCTGAAAATTGAGCGGTTGCTAGTGGAAAAAAATGGACGAAATTGTAA